AGAACCAGACCCCACTATCACTCCTGCTTTGTGCTTAATGACTTGCTCATCATCGCTGGTTGCTGTCTACTCTCAATGCATGAGTCCCTCTTTTTCCCTTGTCATTACAAGTCTTAGGTGGACACAGGAGTCTGACCCCAGGCTTGGTGCTGACATCTTGCAGCTTTCAAGCCTTGCCCTCCCTCATCCACTTCTGCCCACATCTAGATTCATGGTTGAGGAAGCCTGGTGGTCTCTCCTCTGCCCCTGGAGGCGTCCATCCACTCCAGCCCCTGCCCAGCACAGGAACCCCCATAGTCCTCACTCCCTGAGAGAGCTCACCCCAAGCCAGTACCTCTCCCGGCTCCCTGAGGCCATTGCACCTGCTGGAGAGTCCCCCCTGCCTCCTGAGACCAAGGTTCTGTCAGAGCTGCGTATCATCTCATCCCCTGGTGTGTGGGAATCCTCAGACTCAGCCTCTGAAGCTGCTGTTGGCAGGACTCTGCTGTCCTTGTACAGGGCCCAGAGCCATCGTCTCTGTGTGCAGGGGGCTGGGCAATGGCTACCCTGCAGCCTCTCTTCTCCATCAGAACTGACAGTTCTTTGCTGCTGAGCTGTCTGTGTCCCAATCACGACTCTGGAGAAGGTCCAGGAGCCAATGTCACATGAAGAGGAAACCTAGCCTCCAAGAGGATCCAGGCTGAGCCTCTCTCTGCACCTGTGCTTGGTCGGCCTATGCTAATCTATGGGTCCTGAGCACCCCCTGGTGTCCTGAGTGTCCCTGCAGCCAGCCCTGCTGTCTCCCTCAGGGAGGTTTGTGTCTGGGCTCACACTGACTTCTCATCACTGTGGGGCCTGCACAGTAATACACCGCTGTGTCCTTGGTGGTCACGGAACTCAGCTGCAGGGAGAACTGGTTCTTGGATGTGTCTCTGGAGATGGAGGTTCGGCTCTTGAGGGAGGGGCTGTAGTAAGTGTCTCCATTATTGTTTATGAGCCCCATCCACTCCAGCTCCTTTCCTTGGGGCTGGCGTATCCAGCTCCAGTCAGAACCACTGGTGATGGAGTAACCAGAGACAGCGCAGGTGAGGGAGAGGGTCTGTGAGGGCTTCACCAGTCCTGGGCCCGACTCCTGCAGCTGCACCTGGGACAGGACACCTGGGGACAAGGAGCATCAGTCCCTGTCAGTCACCTGCAGTCACAGCCATCCCATGACCCCTGTCTGACCCCTGAGACCCTCACCTCGGGGGGCTGTCACCAGGCACAGGAGAAGCCCTAGCAGTCTCATCTTCTAGACCACAGCTCTGCCTTCTCAGAGGCCTCAGCCCTGAGTGAGGAGAGAGCTGTGAGCCTGCACAGCCCAGGAGAGGATTTACCCTGGAGTGTAAAGCAAATTTGCATGTGGGGCAGCCTTTCCTATAAGTGTAGGGACTGAGGTTGGGCTTACCTGCTCTTTCTGAGGACTGTCTAGGGGCATGTCTTCCCTTGACCTCACTCAGCATGTAAATTGAGCTCAGCAGACCACATGGGTCATGAGACTGACTGGTTTAAGGTCAAAGCACAGCCGATAATCTCTGAGCATAAGAAGGAACACAGACTACATGAGCAGATTACACCATTATCTTCTCATGCATCTTTCAAACAGATGTAAAAGGGATTAGCATTTGTTCTGACAGTTTATGAATTCAACACCCTAGTGTATCCACAATTTCCAAATTTTTAAATCTAATTTTATATAAATTCTACCATTGTGTAAAATATAGAAATAAAGGACAGCCACTTTTCAGTATCTTACATCTTAATTTATGATGTTACTTTATTCAGAGAAACCATTCCCAAGCACACGAAAGTGGGATATTTGTGATGCTTGATGTTGAAAACTTTGTGACTGTGTCTACAGCTTCCTGTGCAAATGCTTCCTTTAGGCCAGCCTATGGCCTATGGCTGAAACCCCAAATAGTTACATCAGAAATAGTCATGGCTTTGAGTGGAGAAAAGACAAGAAAAAAAAGCAGTGATCATGAATGTGTGCAACTTAGAATCATTCATATGTTGAAATGATGATGGTAGGACATTGACCTGTTTTCTCAGTCTAGTGTTATCAGTGATATTGGGGCTCAGAGGCAGGTGAGTGTAGAGAATTCCTACCATAGAATTTCTCACAGGAAAGGAAACTTCAACTCTGAGAGGAATACCTTACTCCCAGCCTCCCTCTGCCTTTCCCCTGGGAGATCACTGTGGTCAAAGGGTGCTGGGATCTACCACAAACATACAGTGTCTTTAATGTGCATTTTATACATTCAGTATGAAACAAAGGATTTGGAAATATATTCCTTATGCATATGTTTCTGATTTCACTCAATGGAATCTTTGACAGGGTAAAAATCTTTAATTATAACTGAGGCTAATTTAACAATATTTTCTTTATTGGGACATCTTTTGGGTGATTTTACAAGAACTCCTTGATAAATGCTGAGTCTCCACTGTCCATGTGGATTGGCTACAGCAGCCACAGAGCCTGGAGCAGGTTCTGGAACCAGAGGGGAGTGCTGCTGGGAAACTGGTGCTGACATCTTGCAGCTTTCAAGCCTCACCCTCCCTCCTCCACTTCTGCCCACATCTAGATTCATGGTTGAGGAAGCCTGGTGGTCTCTCCTCTGCCCCTGGAGGCATCCATCCACTCCAGCCCCTGCCCAGCACAGGAACCCCACCAGTCCTCACTCCCTGACAGAGCTCACCCCAAGCCAGTACCTCTCCCGGCTCCCTGAGGCCATTGCACCTGCTGGAGAGTCCTCCCTGCCTCCTGAGACTGAGGTTCTGTCAGAGCTGCGCGTCATCTCATGCCCTGGTGTGTGGGCATCCTCAGACTCAGCCTCTGAAGCTGCTGTTGGCAGGACTCTGCTGTCCTTGTAAAGGGCCCAGAGCCATTGTCTCTGTGTGCAGGGGGCTGGGCAATGGCTACCCTGCAGCCTCTCTTCTCCATCAGAACTGACAGTTCTTTGCTGCTGAGCTGTCTGTGTCCCAATCACGACTCTGGAGAAGGTCCAGGAGCCAATGTCACATGAAGAGGAAACCTAGCCTCCAAGAGGATCCAGGCTGAGCCTCTCTCTGCACCTGTGCTTGGTCGGCCTATGCTAATCTATGGGTCCTGAGCACCCCCTGGTGTTCTGAGTGTCCCTGCAGCCAGCCCTGCTGTCTCCCTCA